ATTAATGGAAAGCAGTGGTTTCAGTTGAATGAGGTTGAGGTAATGGGGCGGCCTGCTCAGTCACCCAACCTAAACCCCATTGAAAACTTATAGGGAGATGTTAAAAAAGCAGTTTCTGCTGCTAATCAAACTATTGCTCAGCAGTTATGGATAGCTATTCAACAAGCATGGTACGCTATACCTGCAGAAAAATGTCAACGCATTATGACTTTATGCATCAATGTTGGGAAGTCGTTACTTTAAACAATGGTTTTGCAACAAAATACTAAGAGTAAATATTATTATTATATAGTTATTTTTAACTTTTTAATATTAAAAAATTAACTTTTTTAATGTTTAACTATAGAACTTTTTTTTTTTTTTACCATTTTTAGATACCACTGCTATTTCAATTACTGCAAACTTTATTTAATGTTATTGTTTTGTTTCTGAAATAAAATGTAAAACTACTATTGATGTATTTTTCTTATTCTATTTGATTTAAGTGTTAAAATAAATATAATAAAAGGTTTTTCGTAAATAGTAAAAAAAATTGCTTAATAATATTCAAAATATTCCAGGTACTGCTATTTTTATGCTCACAGCTGTGTATATATATATATATATATATATATATATATATATATATATATATATATATATATATATATATATATACATATATATATATATATATATATATATATATATATATATATATATATATATATATATATATATATATATATATATATATATATATATATATATATATATATATATATATATATATATATATATATATATATATATATATTAATAATGTTTGTGTATTTTACTAATAGAGTGCTTAATGTTCTTAAAGAACAAAGCAATAATAAATTAGTAAAAAGATTTATCTAATTTTTGTCTTCAAAAAGTTGTTTCACCATCAATTAGATAGAATATCTAAACATCAAAAATTCAAATTACGGAAAAAAATTTTTACAGGATGTTAGGAATTATTATAACTAAATATGTAATGATTGTAGTTATTTTGCAACCAGAAAGTTGCATAAATTATATTAAAATTAAAAAATTTATCCTGAAAAGAACTTTATAGAATTAGGATATTTTTTATCTGGTAATTTGTTTTTACAATTTTTATAAAAGTAAATATTTTCATGTCTGCTTTTAGAAGTTATTTCAGACTTTTTGTTTAGTAAACATTCTTGATCCAAATAACTAATTATTTGAAATTTCTCTTGTAAGCATAGTATAAATTTTTCTGAAATGTTATTATAGGCAGGCGTAGTTTTTAGAATAGACTAACATAATTTAAAATTTACTAAATTTTATTTTTAGCCGCCAAATATATTTTAACAGCATATTCTCTTTTGAGTATTTTTTCACAAAATTGTGGTCTTTTATAATTCTTTTAATATTTTGTGCTTTTGCTGTACAAATAATATTGAAAGAATTATAAAAGACGACGATTTTGCATTGAATAATAAAAATAAATTTCGTAAAGAAAAAAATACTAAAAATTGTAATTGCAAGCTTAAAATTGACTTACCTATGAATGGCACATTCTTATCACAAATATTATTTGCAAATGCATTTTTTTCCTCACAAAACCCTGATTAACAATATATTGGCTTAACCGAGAGCGAATGGAGAAAGCGTTATGCCTACCACAAACAATCTTTTAAACATAAAAAATACTTAAAAGAGACAATGCTGTCAAAGTATGTTTAGCAATTATAAGAAATAAAATATCATTTTTAAATTAAAATGGTCTATTCTAAAAACTGCGCCTGTCTATAACAACATTTTCAAAAAATATATACTATGTTTACAAAAAAAAATTTAAAATTATTACTTATTTAGATCAAGAAAATTTACTAAACAAAAAATCTGAAATAATTTCAAAATCCAGATGCTATTTTCTAAATGCCAACAACATATAAAAGTTTGTGCGCCTATTTTTTACACACACACACACACACACACACACACACACACACACACACACACACACACACACACACACACACATATATATAGTTACGGGTTGCGCAAATGTTGGGCAACATTTTTATCCACTAACTATTAGTGTTTCTTTGTGGGGTTCACACAATTTAACTGTTAGTTACTAAGGTATTAGTGTTTGAGCAGCCGTGGCGCAGTGGTTAGAGTACTGGCTCAGAACCCAGAGGTCCGAGGTTCGACGCCAGCTCTTGCCCAAAAAGCGACATTGGTACGGAAGGAGGCGTGAACTTCCTATTAAATGCTCTCCCGCGGTGCTCTATGATAAGACCGTAAGGACTTCTGGGAGCACCTAAATACATACAAAAAAAAAAAAAAAAAAAAAAAGGTATTAGTGATTAACTTATAAATTGTAATTCTACAAATATTTATTAGTTTACGACTAGTTGTACTTACCCCACAAGAGATTTGTGAGATAAGTACAACTAGTCGTAAGAAACTCCACAGATGTTGCCTCACCTAAACCAGTTGAATTTCTCTTATACTAATTTTTTCCAAACAGTTTAATCTCGATACTTTTGTGCCATTGCATTTAATATTGTGAAAATGCAGTTCAAGAAGTCAGTAATTACTCGATTCTCTTGAGGTGTAATTGGTTCTAAAAATATGCTGCCACGTTATTAAGAATTAGTTGTTATGGTTTAATTTATAAAGTTTATAATGAAGCTTATACTATATCCTTCAAATATTACAAAGTTTATATCTAATGGTATAACTAACAGTGTTTATATTACAAGCTTCTTCTTCAGTGTTTATATTACAAGCTTCTTCTTCAGTGTTTATATTACAAGCTTCTTCTTCAGTGTTTATATTACAAGCTTCTTCTTCAGTGTTTATATTACAAGCTTCTTCTTCAGTGTTTATATTATAAGCTTCTTCTTCAGTGTTTATATTACAAGCATCTTCTTCAGTGTTTATACTACAAGCTTCTTCTTCAGTGTTAATATTACAAGCATCTTCTTCAGTGTTTATACTACAAGCTTCTTCTTCAGTGTTTATATTACAAGCATCTTCTTCAGTGTTTATACTACAAGCCTCTTCTTCAGTGTTTATATTACAAGCATCTTCTTCAGTGTTTATACTACAAGCTTCTTATTCAGTGTTTATATTACAAGCTTCTTCTTCAGTGTTTATACTACAAGCTTCTTCTTCAGTGTTTATATTACAAGCTTCTTCTTCAGTGTTTATACTACAAGCTTCTTCTTCAGTGTTTTTACTTCATCTTGTTTAAATTATTGCATTGTTGGTTTTTTCATAGAACATTTTAAACTACTCATAGAACTACTTCATAGAACATTTTAAACTAAGAAACCTACTATAGAATGGATCTGTTTTGCAAAAATATCTTTTTGAGAGAGAAAACAATCCTAGAAAATAAACAAGACTGATTGGAAATTGTCTAATTGGCAATATCTTTGAAAACTATTGGTTACCTGCTTGTATTTCAACAAAGTTTAGCATAAAGGACTGTGTATATCAAGCTCTCCGTTTGGGAACCAAATATGAGACACTGAAAAAAATTACTGAAAAAAGAAGAAAAGATACATTGAAACTGGACAGTGTGTTTGTTATATTACATACATACAATAGAGAGTGGCTTATTGATTAAGAATTCCTAAAGAGCCAACAAAAGTTTCCTTAAGTTGGGTTAGTGACTGGAGTAGACAAAATCCATGCTGAAAAAGAGCAATAACGTTACATTAAACTGCAGCGTCACTAAAAGACGAAGAAAATTTTCTCATATTAAGAAACAGCAACTCAAAAAACTTAAATTTTACTTGATCATTGCTGTTGACAAAGAAGTCAACAAGAACGACGAATTTTTTTCAGAAGTTACGGAAAACGTTAAAGGAGATTAAATTTTTTTAGTAAAAGAGAAAAAAAACTATTTTTGCAAATCTGCGATAACGCTGAAAGTTCCAAAAAGAGACATCTACAATTGCCGATGAATCCAGTATTAGTGAAAGACAACAGCTACTTATTTTGGGAAAGACTTTAAAAATAGGTGAAGCAGCTTTAAAGAATATAACACTTTCTAAAACGTCAGTTCATAGAGCAATATTGGCTAACAGAACTGAAAAAGCTAAATTAATTGAAAAACTTGGATTCTACCTGAATTTTTGGAAATTCATTGGGATTGAAAAACATTCAAACAAATTACTGGAAATAAAGAAGAGCAGCTTGCTGTGTATAGAGAACCATCTTGTAAATTGTTAGGTAATCCGAAATTGCCAACAAACCTGGTCAAACACAATATTGCTAAGTAATAATCCTAGTTGATAAGTGGCATTTAAAAAGCACTTGTTGTTGCAAATGTATATAATACAACAGCTACAAACATTAGAGCGCATAATGAAGTTACAACTCTAATTGAAGAGAAAATTAGTTGTTCTCTACTCTGACTTGAATATAGACATATCCAAAAGCTCTTTAAAAAGCAGCATCCAATGCTATTTGTTGCCCGAATAAATCACCAAGAGTTAATCTGTTTGAAAGGTTCAATGAAGAGTTTTATAACCTTAACAAGAATGTAAAAAATACTTAAAGGGTGGGACTGGCCTCATGATTAAAATAGTTTTTTATTTCAACAACCGCTAGAAGTAAAGAAATAGTCAATGGAAGGGTTACAGAAAAGAGAAGAGAAAATTTTCTTAGAGAAAATTTTTCTCTAAGAAAATTTTTCTAAGAGAAAATCAAGAACTAGTTAAGTTTCTTCTTTTTTTTATGATGGACAAAATTAAACGAGGTTTTGGCATTCGATATACCCATACGAATTGTCACGAAAGAGAGATGTCAAAAACCATACTTTAATTATACTTTTGAACAAAAAAACTAAAAAAAATGCTGTTGGTGCTCCAGCTATCTATTTGTATATTTTTTAATTTAATGAGGAAATATAAACAAATTGACTTTAAGAGCGTTGGAGAAACCATCATGTTCATTGTGCGACATCTAAGATACTCTCCCAAAACTTGTAGTCTTTTATTTGTTCAATGGCTCTACAATTAATGGTTGCAAATAATGGTAAATTGTTTTAACTTTTTAAAATGTTTCTTGATGATTACTAATTAAATTGTGTAAATCCTACATAGAAACAATTACAATTAGTGGATAAAATTGTTGCGCAATAGTTGTGCAATATTTGCACAATCTGTTATTCTAACTTCTAATGTTTTGTGGGGAATCTAACTTATGTCCTAAATTTAAAACTTTTGGTGATTAGCGTTTTTAGATATAATGCTATCACTAAAAAAATTCAGTTAAATTGTCAAAAAATGTTTAAAATAGATCACCCTATACGTGACTTATATATTTCTTATATTGTTATCTCACACGCAATTATATAAATGCAAAACTTTTTAATAAAAAAAAAATTATTTTGTCCGAAATGTTGCTTGAAAACAAAAATTAAAAAAAAAATTCTTTGAAGCCAAAAATTTCAAGATTAGATAATATATTCTATGCATAAACATACAAATATTTTACGTACCCATTAGGATTTTATCAAATTTATCAAAAATAATTGAGAAATTACAATTAAAACCCAAAATTTTTCAATATAGTAACTCATTAATATCTTTTGTTTTCTTTTTAAATTTAAAAAAGTTTTATAGTGTGAATAGAAATTCGGATATTATAACCTGAACTCCCGCCTATCTTTAACATAAATGAAATTAGTTTTCAAAAATTGTTCTCAAAAATGAATTTTAATATTTAATAATAGTAGTATTACATTTATAAATTTTCTTTTTAAAATCCATAGATTTGTTTGCTTTAAAAGAACAAAGTAATATATCACGGAGCAAACTCCTTAACACGATTAATGTTTTTCCAAAAGAGTATGAAATAACATTTGAAGCTTGTTTCACTTCATTTATTTCTGATAATTCTTCATGGTCAAACCTTTTAAACTTCAACACAGGAAACTCAAATGACTATAGTAACCGAACTATAGGTATATTTTCCAACTCAAATAGAGATTTGGGTTTATACGCATCAATTAATAACATTTCTTACATTAAAATTTTTGCAAATGTTTTCTCGTTAGGATGTAACCAATACTCAATTAGTCAGCAATTATTTCAATACTATAACTTTACTATAACTATATCTGGAAAAATTATTTTTACAATTAAAAACACCGGCGCAAAAGAATTTACCAATGTTAAAATGTATTTTTCCGACCCTTGGCACGACGAACAGCCGGGCTATATTAAGAATCTTTTGGTAACAAAAGGATGTTCAGGTAAATATAGTTTTTATTGCTAACGTGTTACAGATTTATAATTATACATATGCTTGATTTTGTTTTGTTCTTAGAGTTGTTTACTTTAATAAACAAGAGTGACATACTTCATAACAACCTTCTCCAAACAATAACTATTTTTCCAACAGAATATTATATTGAATTTGAAGCCTGCTTAACTTCATTTGCTTCTGGAAAATCTTCAGTCTTAAATTCATTTGATTCTGGAAACTCTTCAGTTGAGTCGTTCAACGTGTTTTATTTCACTAATAGTGATAACAATTTTTGCGTAGTATGTATGTGGTTTTCTCCAAATGGTGAAATGCAATTATCAGCACTAATAAATAGTACATCTTATAATTTTACAACAAAGCCCTTTGAATTAGGATGCAAACAATATAAAATAAGTCAGACTCTTTATCAAAGAAATTATGTTTTTACTATACTAGTTGATGGATGGACTCTTTCAACAGTCAAAAACGCAGCACCACAAGTGTTTAGCAATGTACAAATTTATATTTCCAATCCGTGGACTGCAGCTCAACCGGGATACACCAACAACTTTGTTATAACAAGAAGATGTTCAGGTAAGCAAAAACATTTTTTGTAAGTAGCAGTAACTAATGTTTTTTTTTCCTTATATTTCTATATTTATAAATCTATATATACCTATATCTATATATCTATATCTATTTATCTATCTATCTATCTATCTATGTATATATATATATATATATATATATATATATATATATATATATATATATATATATATACATATATATATATATATATATATATATATATAAATATAAATATATATATATATATATATATATATATATATATATATATGAATAAATATATATATATATATATATATATATATATATATCTATACATATATATATATATATATATATATATATATATATATATATATATATATATATATATATATATGAATATATATATATATATATATATATATATATATATATATATATATATATATATATATATATATATATATATATATATATATATATGAATATATATATATATATATATATATATATATATATATATATATATATATATATATATATATATATATATATATATATATATATATATATATATATATATATATATACACTATATACACACACACACTTATACATAGACATTTTTTTAGTTTTAGTAAATAAAATTTTAGAATTTTTATGTAAAATATAGGAAAGCAAGTTTTGTAATATAAACATAACAACATAACATTCTAGTATGAAAAAATATGAAGGTATAATCTAAAAAATACATTTTGTTTTTTTGTGCATTTTATAGTTTTAATTACTTAATTAAGCTTCAAAAAATTCAAAAAATGTTCTTCATCTTTTTACTATATTAAAAGCGAGCACTCATTAAAAGGTAGTAGAGAAAATAAAACAAAAAATTGTTTACTAGGGTTAGACTATCGTTCAATAATAATATTAAAATTAACATATTAAAAAATATTTAGCTTGTTAATAACATAAAAACTAATATTATTGTTTCCACCTGCAAAATAACTTTTTTGGAAGGTTTTTAATTAATTTTCATTTACCAAAGTTAGTTGCTGAAGTTTTGTTTTGAATTGATTAAGAAAATACTTATATATATTTTCAGTTTTTTATTTTATAGAGTATTCCGCAATTTAGGACTATGGTTTGCAATTAAGAATCTAATAGCGGAATAGTATGTTTTGGATTTAGTGTATTTTGTATTTTAAGTAGGGTATAGGTATTCTGACAGGGTAATACGTATTTTATCTTTTTAAATAGTGAATTAAGTAAGATCTGTGATTTTTTTTAACAAGCTGGAATATGAATATAAGAGCATGGTAAAGGTTTAGTTTTTATACATTTAGAATACTGAGTTTATTTTATACTGTTTGCTTATGAGATAAACGATATACGTTCAAAATTATCCTTTAAGCCTATTTTTGTTAACTTGGCAGATTTTTTACATTCGTTACTTTAGTACTTTACTAAGCAACGTTTGTATAATTTAAGTAGTAAATTATACAAACGTTGTCCGGGTTACATTTTTATCTAGAACCTCGCCTAAAAAACTAACTGATTGCTCTCTTTTAATAATTTGTTAACAATTTGTTATTAATGAAAAGTTTCAGAAGTTTCCAAGGAACACCTGTTTTTATATGCAGATGATGGATTAGTTTGTTTTTAATTTTACTGATATCTAAAGTTTATCCGATCTAAACAATTAGGTAAAGTTTATCTAGTTCAAATGTTAATATTTAAAATAATAAACGAATGTTAATACTAGTAAACAACAAAGTTTGTATCATATGCAAGCAAGGTTTAAAACTTTAGATAGTTTGTTTACATTTTTAATGTAAATGAGAAAAAAAGGGGGTCCTAGAAATGATCTCAGAGGAACAGTATTGGTAAACGTTTTGTAATCAGTTTTTCCTTCATTATTTATTGTATACTTTTTGGTCAAATAACTCTCAAACTCTAATAAAGTAATCAAAATAAAGTCTTACACACATTTGCACTTTACCGACTCAGCCGTGACATTACGCATTTCATCTTGTATAACGTTTCGCATGGTTTCTGTTTAAAAATACTTAATTCTGTTTAAAAATCTCTAAAGCAATAGCCTTTTCATTTTAAAAAAACTTATTATGTTATTTACCGAAAAACAGCCTGGATTTAGTGGTTTCAACGTTACGAAACGTAGCATTACAATATTTTAAGCGGCGTAAAGAATGTGAAACCAGTAAAAAAAGCACGCGAAATTTAAATTTGACTTTAAAATCTTATAAAATACGCGTTTAATTTGAGTAAAAGTTCCAAAGAGATTACCGTGTTTTTGGTTAATGCCTGGATCGTGATGAGCGCCTTTTCGACCGTAATCCGTGGTACAAAAAGTCATCAGAAAACAGTTTTTGTGACCTAACTCTCAGTAATAGTTTTTTTTAAAATATGGGTTTTAAGATAAACTAATTTTGAGTTTGAAAAGTTTCCAAGGTTAGAAGAAAAGAATTCTACAATATGGAGTCAATCAACTTTTATCGTGTAAGATGAAATAATGTTCTAAAAACTGTTCTGAGCACCCTGAAATTGCATAAATACTATGTTATATCAAAATATATAAAATATTCTTTATATATAAGCTTTTATAGATTTACATTTACATAAGATTGAACCAATTTTTATTCTGTAAATCAAAAATGCATTAACATGAAACGGAACATATCAGCTCTGCATATCGACATGAGCATTGTTTTATATAACAATTAGTGGCACATCTGCAATTGTAAAATTTAATACGCTATTTGGAGCAATTTTATTTGACAGCCATTTTACTCTCAATTTGACGCCATATATGTCTAACAATTTTTTAATAAATTTGACGTATTTAATAGAGCTATTGTGAAATGTTTCCGGAGATAAGCTTGGTAAAAACACCTGAGTATATGTTGTATTAATACACCCGAAGTTGGAGGAAACTGCTCTTCAATATCTGCTATTCTCTAACGGTAGATATCTCAGCTCGTTATCTGAAGACAAATTTCTATATTTTAGTGAACAAATCTAATGTCGTCAAGTAATTCTTACCTGATTGTGCTAACACACAATCAAGCTCAAATTTCTTCTGTATGACCTTAAGTACTGAAGCTTTTCCTTTATCATAAAATAAACTTGTAGTGTCACATCCTAAAAAGAAAATAAAAAGTCTATAAATATTGCATTCAATATTGCAAAATTTAATTATACCATCTTGACTATTCACCATAAATTGTATTTCCACTATTTAGAAAATACAGTTTTACAGTGTTTTAAATACTTTTATTACGGTAATGAAAAAAAAAGAAAAAAAAGAACGGAAAACCATTGGAGAAAAAATAGTTGAGTTAAATTAATCCATTTACCTGTATAAAAATAAAAGCCAACTACAACATTTAAAAATTTACACTAATATTCACCTGCTGTCTTTACATTATTTATACGTTTGTTGTTTTGAATTTCAGTTGCAAATGATACATTAATAGTGAAATATTAGATTGCATATAAATCAATGACAAATACCATAGTATCATACCAAAAACTTTACCTGGAACTTTACTACTCCATTAAATGTTTTTCCTACAGTTTGGGTACATGCATTATCAGCAAAGCGGTATAATGCCTGTCTTTTGATGGGTTAGTTTTTCACAACAATTTTCTGTCAAATTTTTTGACATTTTTTGTGAAATCGTGAAAACACAATTTCATAACAAATGTCTGTCAAAGATAAAAAGGGTACTGATTCTTGATTGATTACTTTATCAAGAATATAAGCCATTTTTGTATTACTTTAAAAAGTGCAAAAGATAATTAGGCTTGTAAGTAAATTGAATAATATATTGAACAAATAACCTTTTTTTAATACAGATCCCAAATCTGAGTACAATCTGCTCTTTAACGAAGCAGAATTAATTGCAACATTTCTAAGCAGACACTCCTGAAATAAAAAGCTTGAGATTTTGCACATTGGTGACTAATACAAGTCTGTTAGCTGAAAACAATACGTTGGAACAATGGACTTTGAATATTGTCATCAAAGTTTGGGTGATATTAAAATTTTTATAAAGATCTAAACTTAAGAACGCCATTAAACTTTGAAGCTAACCATTTTTTAAACTTAAGCAAAGAACTTGAAATTAAATTTTAGATGCATAAATTTATTTTACCCATAAACAAGTATCATTAAACAATTTTGCTACAGCTAAAATAAAAGATATAACTATGTGGAAATCCCCAAGTATTTTACCAAATTGATTAAAAAATCAGCCTTTTTTCATCTTATTATCTGTACTTTTGCATAAACCGCCTTGTCCAAAACCATTAGAATTAGACCAAGTGAAAGTTTGTTAGCTATGTTTATATCAGTTTTTAAAATTTTATGAATATATCAGTAATAGGAGCATTAATAATTGGTAAGTACCTTGAAACAGTTCCATTATTTAAATTGTATGGTTAATGTTTTGTGTTAAAACCAGTTTGACATGGCAATACTCTTCTTGCATTACACATAGGTAATTTGCAAGTGATTTATAGTCAATCATGATGCCTGCATTAATTCTGACCAATGTCAGTAGCATTTATGACTGCACTTTATTTTCCAAATAATTTTATTAATTATAAGACACCCTTTTCCGCAGAAAATAAGCTGGTGTTGCACTTAATTCAACATTTACTGTCTCTACGCACTTTCAACTAAGCCAGTTTTTTTTATGCAAATACCACGTGCAATGTGTAGGTGTTTCAGATCCAATAAGAGTTTTTTTTCTGCCAAATCTACATTATCATACATATGTGTAGTAAAGTTATTTTGTTGAATATAATCTTTAATACTACTGAATGTATTCATGGGCACAACCTAAAATTGTAATTGCACTTTCAAATCCTCTAAACTCATTAAGAACATCATTTTGCAGTAAAAATTTAAGTTTTATTGTATTATCTCTCAGCGTTCAAAATTTATGACAATATAAAATTCAAACCCCCTCAATTTGAGGGGTTACAAAATGTATATGATT